TTTCAGTATTCTGCTTTTTTAAACAGTAGTGTCTTTGGAAATTCTTTTAGAATTACATTTGTCACGGGTACAGGGAAATTTAGCATTCTGTTTCATATTCATGAAAGCACAAAGGATTAGTCTCTCATCAGTTTTATGATGCAAAATATGAATCCTTTCTGGATAATTGCCGACATAGGGATGTCTCTTTTCCCACTAGCTGAAAACACATTGCTACCTCATTAAAATCTGAAAGAAATTCATTTAATTTTGTTAAAAGGTGCCTCAAATCAGTAGTGCATCATTTATTTAATAAAGTAAATATCATCATGCTTATACATTGCTGAGCAGAATAAGGAGTTTTTTGATACAAATGAACTACCAGACTTTTATGAGCTTTTCTTTTCTGTTGAAAAGATTGAAGCTTTTAAAATGATACTGTGTTCCACTCTTTTATAATTCTTTATTGATAAGTACTCCTTAACATGACTCAATTATAAAGATAGTGTAGTATTTTTGACTTAAAGTTTTAAGTATAAAAAGAATTAGCACCAATAAAATGTATACTCTATAAAAGTATTATGTCTGACTTTAAGGAGGTAACTTTTTTCCCTTAAACAAACTTACCTGAATTTATACATTTTTTATAATATAGCCAGAAATAGTTAATTAACAAGCATGGCCTTTGGAGACAGACCTGAGGATCTCCTGCATTCTGGCTTGCCCATTCACTGCTGTGTGACTGTGCAAATACTGTTTAGCATCTCTATACCTCATTTCTCACTTGGAAATTGTATGCCAAGAATCTAATAGAATCATTTAGAGAACTTAAATAAAATCATGTATGTCAAATGCTTAGAGTACTCTGCATATTTGCAGGTGTACTGTTAATGGTAGATATAATAATAAACAACTACATATAAATAAATGCTGTTCTTTCAAGCTATTTTAGATGTCTGTTAATTTATTACAATATTGCCTGAGTTGCCCAAAGAAAAGAATTCTATTTAGTGGTTTACCTAACACCTATTAATCAACTGACAATAAAAACGGCTACTTTTAGGGTGCTTGCTTTCTATATGCCAGGCATTGTTTTATTTAATACTCAGTTTTCTAAGGAGTACATATTAGACCTATTTTGCAGCTGAGGAAACTGAAACTGAGAGAAGT